AGGACTTGCAATTTGAAAAGGAAACAGTGAGTAACACTGGAAAGGCAGCAGATAGCACAGTGGGTCGGCTAGGAGGGAAAATACAAACGAATGGTCCCTTGGTGAATGGGTCCAGGCGACCCGGGAAGCTGTCCGGCAGCCCCCATGGGGTCGGGCCGGCCCCCTCTCCTGGATGAGCCCCAGAAACGCTCCCCACCGTCTCCCAAGGTGACATCCTATGGCTGCTCCCAGGACTTCTCTGTGCTATCAGGGAGTGTCATCATCAGGGGAGCTGCATTTGTGGGGTGACAGGTTCAGGGGAGACGGGGCCCTGCCCACGGGGCCAGCTGGACTCTGAGTCTTTCAGTCCTGCTCTACTGCTGGCAGACGGTCTCTCCCTGAGGCTGAAGCTGGTTCCCTACAGCCACGTCACAGCACTCCGGCTCCTGGGAGGAGGGATGGGAGACGGGTAGATGGGAGGAGGGATGGGAGACGGGTAGATGGGAGGAGGGATGGGAGACGGGTAGATGGGAGGAGGGATGGGAGACAGGTAGATGGGAGGAGGGATGGGAGATGGGTAGACAGGTTTTTCATAAGGGCCTGGCCTGGAAGTTGCAGCCTCTGCTTTCCCTGAGGACCTCACTGGCCAGAACAGTTACATGCCGTGTGCACCTGCAAGTTAAAACTCACCGCCTCAGTGAACGGAGGAGGGCGGAATGGACATGGGGACAATCCGTTTCTGCCACAGCGATGGAAACGTACAGTGTGGCCGATGCCAACGACGGCAGGTCAGACAGCAGCTAGAATCCACCGTGAGGGGCACAGACAGCAAAACGTGTGCGCATCTTAGAAACAGGCTGTGAAGAGACCAGAGACAGCGAAAGGCACAACCCTGCTCACCTGAAGGCTGCTGTGGCCTGAATGCGTCCCCTCCCCAGAACGTCAGCCCCAGAACGTGGACTTCCCAGCGCCCAGAACTATGGGAAATACATTTCTTTTCTTTACGGATGAACCCGTCTCGGGTGTCATCCAGCAGCCCAGCGTGGACCCTCACCATCGTCCTGTGCACTTCAATGGAAACCACTGACGTCCACACGCCAGGCCCACGGCAAGGACGCTGAGTCCAGGTCACAGTAGGGGAGGTGCTGGGGCCTGTGGGGCTCACACAGTCGTGTCCCAAACTGGACACAAATCACACAGCTGCCTGTGGCTGAGGTCACCAGAGGAAAACAAAGCAAAAAAACAGTACAGCGGACATCTGAGCAAAAGGGGTTTTTAATCCCAAGTAGGAAGCCAGGAAGGAGCCCGCTGGTTCTGGTTCTCCGCTTCGCTCCAGCGTGTACTCTGTGTGAACTCCGTGTGCACTCCGTGTGAACTCCGTGTGCACTCCGTGTGAACTCCGTGTGAACTCCGTGTGCACTCCGTGTGAACTCCGTGTGAACTCCGTGTGCACTCCGTGTGAACTCCGTGTGAACACGGGGCAGCCCTGTGGCCACCGGCCTGGCCCCACCACTGCCAAAGTGCATCTTAAATGCAGAACAACAAATCATACTTCCATGTTTTGCATTTTGAAAATACTGGAAAGAAAGCTCCTTTGCAAGTGATTGAAACAGTTATTTTATATTTTGATGACTGGGTAAAAGCCACATTTCAGACATGAAAATTAAAGAGGAAATTTAACAATTGCATAATGATAGTAGATTCAAATATATAATACTGGGAATCTAATTTTCCGAAGGCAAAAATGGAGAGCAGTTCTGTCATTTCCCATAAATCTATACCCAGGACATTTTCCTGCCTATAATCTCTGCATAGTTTTGAGTGGATTCGTTCCAACGGGTGTGTTCAAGGGTATTTGCATACTAGTGCAAATACGTTACACTCAGCAGGGTGATTTCCCAAATTCATTCAGATGCTATTATTGATAACAGGATTTTCTGTGGAACCGTGTGCCACTGTGGAAGGGCTGATCTGAGTTACTGCCTGTACAGACACAGACGCACTTTATTGCCTGGATGAATTTAGACGTGGGGGGCAGGAACCTGAGGCCAGGCTTTCCTCCCGTCCACCAGCGTCTACCAGCATCCAGGGAGAGCAAGAGACGGCATATCTGTGCCAGTGGAGCTGTCTTTAGAATAACCAAGTATTTAGTTAAAATAACACATACCTATTTCTTTGCATTTCACCCTGACAACAACAAGAATAGAGTTTGCAAAAGGGCTTTTACGCTTGGAGTGTGGTAAACTGGCTTCTTGGCTAAGAGCAGGGCTTTCTTTTATTCTGTGCCGTCCTCAAGGTCAAGCACAGAGAATTCCAGGGTGGGTGTATCCTGTGCATCGTGGAAATGCTCAGAGCCCCTGGCCCTGGGGGGAGGGTCCACAGGGGAGAGATGAGCCCTGCTGCCACCTTTGTTAGACGTCAGGACCGCACCTCTCCCGAGGCGGGGGAAGGGGTGCCAAGCGCCGGCTGCTCTGAGCTCTTCCCGCAGGAAGGTGGGCTCAGATCATGAAGCAATCCCTCCAGGAGGCAGGAGCGGGAAGACGGGGCTCCAAGGGCTCCATGGTCCGAGTGTGACCGTGAGTCCCGGTGCTATCCGTCCACGCGAAGACAGAGCAGCCCCACAGAGCGGACGGCTCATCAGAGCAGGTGAGCTGACAGCTGGGCGCCAGCACGACCTTTCCAGGAATCGGTGTCAGGGCCGGGAGGAGCGGTGGCCCCAGGCTGGGAGGAGACGTGACAGGACTAGGCCTGGGGAAGCGTGTGCTGGGCCTCAGGGGGAAGGCGGCAGCTGCAACATCCGACACCCAGGGCGGCGGGGCCTGAGCACCCCAGGACCAGGCCAGGCAGGGGCGGCCTCCCTGCTGAGGGACCTGGGCCACGTGGGGCCTCCCTGCCGAGTGACCTGGGCCACGTGGGGCCTCCCTGCTGAGTGACCTGGGCCACGTGGGGCCTCCCTGCTGAGTGACCTGACCACGTGGGGCCTCCCTGCTGAGTGACCTGGGCCACGTGGGGCCTCCCTGCTGAGTGACCTGACCACGTGGGGCCTCCCTGCTGAGTGACCTGACCACGTGGGGCCTCCCTGCTGAGTGACCTGGGCCACGTGGGGCCTCCCTGCTGAGTGACCTGGGCCACGTGGGGCCTCCCTGCTGAGTGACCTGGGCCACGTGGGGCCTCCCTGCTGAGTGACCTGACCACGTGGGGCCTCCCTGCTGAGTGACCTGGGCCACGTGGGGCCTCCCTGCTGAGTGACCCACGTGGGGCCTCCCTGCTGAGTGACCTGGGCCACGTGGCGCCTCCCTGCACTGAGTGACCTGGGCCACGTGGCGCCTCCCTGCTGAGTGACCTGGCCACGGGGCGGCCTCCCTCGCTGCGTGTGACCTGCACGTCCTGCGCTTGGCTTTGGGGCACGTTCAGAAGAACGAGGCTGGCAGGCTGTGGTCTTGGTGCTCGCTCCACGCCGGGAGTGCGCAGAGCTGAACGTGTGTTGAGTGTGCGGCTCGGCGTGGAGCCCGCGTTCCTCTCTGCGTGGGACGGAGCTGCTTCCCCTTCAGTGCTGTCGAGGACGATGCCGGCCTCCGCCAGGCCGAGTCAGTGCTGTGTCCCGGGGTCTGGCTCCGCGGCCCTGACTGCGCCGGGCCTCCCTGTTCCAGCTTTAGTGACGGTCTCAGGAGAGAATGCAGGCAGAGCGGGCTCTCCTTTTCCTGCCCTGGGGGCTGACACCTGACTCACGGACGCCACTGAAAGGGCGGCCCTTGTGGCCTCAACTCGCTTTTCATCAGTTACCGTCCTCGGCAGGACATGGGCACCTCCTAAAGTGAGGATGAAATGGGCTTGAGCTCCCAGCAGCAGCCGCCCCGTGACTGCAGGTGCCCCCGAGGCTGGCCCCAGGCACGGAGAGGGAAGCAGCCAGGCAGCCGGCCAGGGAGGCACCGTGCCAACGGAACCGTGCCAGCGTGCTCAGATTCCAGAGCCAGCGCCGAGCCGAACGGCGGGAGAGGAGGAGCACATGAGGCGCGGGACGCAAGCTCAGGCCACCCTGACCCTGAGGAGGTGCAGCCGCCCCGCAGCGCGTGCTGGTAAAACGGTCTCTTCTGCTGTGGGCTCCGAGGCCTGCAGAGCCCAGACCTGACCTCGCAAAGCCAGAGGAAGGGGCCGCGGCCACCGCAGGAGGCTTCACCGATTCGTGGTGAAAGGTCCACGTGAAATCCCAGGAGAGCCCAGGAGAGTGTGACTGGGAGATAGATCTGGGGTCCTGTCGCCACGGCGGTGTGTAAACAGTTTACAAATGACAGCAGATGTTAATCATCGAAGCCACGCAGAACAGCCCTCGTTCGTGCACGGTAGAGCGCCAGTCTTGCACGGGTTCAGTGGTTTCAGGAAGATGCGTTGTTGGGGAACCACAGTCCCTGGCTTATCGCACACACTTGCCATGGCTAGATTCAGGCCAACAGGGATACCGCATTTCAGTTAAGTTGAATCAGACGCTGCAAGTCAATGTCAGTTGTTTTGGGCTTGAGTTCATGTCTGGTCCAGCTTAAGTTGTTAGTCCAGGGTTGGGAAGAGAAGTGGCGCTGGGCTGACAGGGTCCTCATCTCCCAAACCTGCCTGATACTGTGAGACCCTGGGGTGGGCGGGAGTGGGAAGAGAGGGAAAGGGATTTTGAAAATACTGATTCTAATTTTGAAATCTGTCTTTAAACGTATCATCCCAGGGCTCCTTGGAGAAGCAGCTGATCCCAGCTCTGGGGCACGGAAAGTTTCAGGTGAGCCTGGGGCTTCGGGGCCTTCAGAGCAAGAAAGTGCCCTTGGCAATGGGGCAGGTGGAGAAGATGCACGAGCCAGCCCAGAGGGGCTCCCTGGCCAAAGAAGCACCTGGGGGTCCACGAAGTGGGAAGGGGGATTAGGGAGCGAGCCAGAGAGCTGGGGGCGGGGACAGGAGAGCCAGAGAGAGAGGGACAGGCAGGGTTAGGGGAGAGGAGTGAGGGGAGAGAGGCTGAGATGGAGTGGGAGGGGCAGGCAGGGTTGGGGGAGAGGAGTGAGGGGAGAGAGAGGCTGAAATGCAGTGGGAGAGGCAGGGCATCTCACTTCCCTTCAGCGGCCACTACGACATCATTGTCAACTCTTTACTCGGAAATCAGTGAGGAAAGGGATTGACTTCAGCAGTTCCCCCTTGCTTAAGAGAAACTGTTTCATCTCGTCTTGATGAGAAAATACCTTTTTCACAGAATGCTTGGTAATAAATGTGGCAGGAACGGTAAAATTAGTTCGACTATTGTGCAACCCAGATGAAGGCACTGATTTAGGAAAAGGCCATTGACAGTTGCCGAGGCCTCGGGGACCTGGAGGCAGAGGGTCTGCGGGCGCTGAGGCATCTCTGCATGGCTTTACCAGCGACGGCTCTGCAGTCACCTCTTCAGACAAGGGATTGCCCTGGTGCTCCATGCCACCCACCGACGCCTTCCCTGAGCTCACCCTGCACCCACATGCCTCTGAATCCGACGCCTGCAGACCTTACTTCCGGTGGCAGGAAATGCAGCTGGCAGAAGGAAAGGTTACATGATGGAGGGAGAATCCTTTCCACAAGAGTAAGACTGTGGCCTGGCCCCATCAGTCCCCGCCTTTAGGGAAGCAGCGGACAGAGATCAATGAGACAACACAGGCCCGCAACCAAATGCAGAGCCCGACTGTTGTTGGCTGCTGGTGGGAAAGACGTGCTGGGGACGGTGGGAAATCAAAACAGGAACGGAGTGGAGTTGATATCACATGAAGTGACCACGATGGTTCTGCCTGGGATGGTTCTGGCTCACACCTGCTGTTCCGGCAGAATTATTAATCCCAACTCATTCACTTTCCAAAGTGTCGTGTTCTGGTGATAATTCCTATGGTCACTCAAAAGCTGGGGAATTGGTGTTAGTTGTCTTAGGCGTGAATTATGGTGTTGAGCTTACAGGGCATCTTCATTCCTAGGAGATGCCTCGGGCTCAGAGAATGTAAGCTACTTGGAGAGACCAGGGGCACACAGCTCATGTGATGTAGAACTGGTTTATAAAAGCTGTGGTAAACAAAACCCAAAAGTGGGCACAGGACTGGAATGGACATTTCTCCTAAGAAGATATACAAAGGTCAACAGGCACACAAAAAGAGGTCTGACACCACTCATCAGCACGGAAATGCAAATCTAAACCACGAGGTGCTGCTTCATAACCATCGGGATGATTATCATTTACTGTCACAAACCAGAAATAAGTGCTGGGGAGGGTGAGGAGGAACGAGCACCCTTGTGCGCCACTGCTGGGAATGGAAAACGGTGCAGCCATTGTGGAAGACGGTGTGAAAGTTCCTCAGAAAACGAAACCCAAATTTAATTACTGTATGATCCAGCACTTCCACTTCTGGGCATAAACCCCCACCTTGAAAGCTGGCACTCAGCAGCTGCTTGTACACCCACATCCGGAGCAACATTATTCAACAGCCAAAAGGCAAAAACAGCACCATGTCCATCTACAGATGATGCAAATGAACAAACAGTGCAATGTGCTAACACGAACTAAATATGGCCGGCGAAGGATGCCAGGACGTCTACATTTGAGTCCTTGTGGACGAACTGTAACCCACCTTAATAGCAGACAGGACTGAAAACCTAATTCAGGAGTCTGTGCCTGTGACAGTGGCCAAGTCTTGACCAATCCCAGCGGCCATACGTCAACCACGCATAGACTGCCGAGTGTTCAAACTGTTTCAATAAGGCAAACGCCAACCTGGAACCAATCCAGCCGTTCTGCACCTCTCTGCCGATTTTTATACATCACTTCCCCCCCTTTTTTTTGTCTGTATATTTGTTCTGACCACGAGGCATCCCTGGAGTCTCTCGGAATCTGCGGTGATTCTGGTGCTGCCCGATTCATGAATCATTCATTGCTCAATTAAACTCCTTTAAATTTAATTCAGTTGAAGTGTTTCTTTTAACAAATGGAATATGATTCAGCCTTAAAAAGGAGGGGAGTCGACACAGGCTATAACACGAGGAACGCTGAGAATGTTATGCTGAGTGAAATAAGCTGGTCACAGAAGGACGCATCCTTGAGGGTGGCACCGAGGAGAGGTCCCCAGAGGAGTCGGAGCCACAGAGACAGAAAGTAGGACGGTCGGTGGCTGCCAGGTGCGGAGTTCCTGTCTAGTGGGGACAGAATTTAGGTTTACGAACTCTACATTTTAAAATGTAAATTCTACAGTATGTGTATTTTATCACAATAAAAATGTATTTTTTAAGTGTAGTAGACTTTGCCTCAAAAGCCCCAGTTCTTTCAATCTAAATAAGAAAATAATGCAAAATACACCAAAGACTTTAAGACCCTGTTCATCCTAAGGCAACGTAACAGTTCACAAATAAAGGAATAGCCAAGTTAATTGAGGTCCGTTAACTTATTAGCATATTGTGCTACCGTCAGGATGGACGGCCAGGAAGCTCCTTCAGAAGCTCGGTAAGAGAAAACCTGGAGTGACTGGAGGGGCGGAGTTGGGGGGGCCTCCTCGAGGGGCTGCGATGCTGGGGAGGGCTGTTTCCCGTTCCGGGTGTGGGTTACAGGGGTCTCGGCATTTTGTGAGAATTCCAGGAGGTGTGACGTTATGGTTTATGTATGTTTCTATATGGATGTTACACATCAAACAATGTTGACTACACTTTTAAATAAATTCAAAAATTATGGATCCATATTGGCAACTATGTGAAGACACACACTGAAGGGAAAGATGGAAAGGAACCTCCCACCAGCTACCAGAGACGGCTTAGGGGACATTCCCGAGGCCACCACAGTGACATCCCCCCAAGGCTGCCACGGAGACGTCCCCACAAGGACTTGGGCCGACACCAGTGTCCCTGTTGCTGCAAGGGGTGGGCAGTGGTGCCCGTGGTGTCAGTGCAGGTGGATACACCATGGGTTTGCCCCAGGAGAGGACCCCCCGTGGCTGCTGTGCCCCCAGCGGGGACCTGGGGTGGGAACACTGGCCAAGCTGGAGACAGCGGGTCACGACGGCTTTGCTCGCAGTGACCAAATCATCTCAGGCTGGACGCCAGCCCCCTGGGGAGTTGCGCCCTGGTGCTCACTTGAGCACTTTGATTATCTTTAGTAACAAATTCCCTTCAGCCCAACTCACCGCAGAAAGCTGTGGAGAACAACAAAAAGGAAAACCAATCCCAAGTGGTCTCCGCCGAGCCCCGATGCACGACGGGGCCTCAGCCAAGCCCACGCCAGGTCACGCCCCAAGGGACTAGGAAAAATAGCCGCGTTTGATTTTGTTCTTCAGCTTCACCTGAGTCTTTCTAACAGCAAGGACTTGGCTGTCTCTAGATAGGAGACAGACACTGTCCAACTTATTCTAAAATTTTCTTTCACTCTTACGCTCAGACGCCCTCATGCCACAGGCAGGTTGTAAGCAAATCCAACACGGCACATAGTATTAAGCCTGCAGAGAGGAATTCTGTACGTCAGCACACCCAGGACCGTAGGTAACGGGAGTCTCACTTGTTTTCATTTGTCCTGCTCTCACACAGACTTACCTTCTTACCCACGTGCGGGTCTCGTGGTCTGACGATGGTGCACCGGCACCTGCCCTCGCAGGAGCTCCTCCTTTCTTCTTTGCTGTGGTCAGTTCCTGGGACCCAGGGGCCGAGTGGATCACGCAGCAACCTTCATCACGGGGGATCGTTCTGGGGGCACGCGTGGCCTTTTCTCCGGCTTGCTCGCTCCTTATCTGCATCCATTCTGTCCTCGGCACTCCTTCCTTCTTTCCTCTGTGCCCCACTCCCATTCCACTCCTCTCTCATGCACAGTCACACACAGTAGAGTGTATTATCTAAATACATTCTTGCAGGATTTCTATTGTTGTACGTGCCTTGTTTTTAACTCATGACAATGTTTTTCGTGACACATCCTGTCCTGTCTTACTTTCCCCTCCACGCACGCAGGTGCAGACACCACCCATCCACTGTGCTGTTCTCACAGTTACACCTGATCCCAACAGGTCCCTCCCCCTGCCCAGGTGGACACCAGGGGCACCCTCTTCAGCCTCCACAGATGACACACAGGGCTGTCTCTGTGCCTGCAGACTCATGGCCTGAAGACTCCCCCAAATCAGGCTGTAGAGCTGCCCACCAGGCCTGAACTGACCGTGACCACAGCCATTCTCAAGTCCTCTCCGAATGGCCTCGCTGCTGGCACAGTCCTCAAGGGACATGCCCCTCATCCCCACGGCATCTTCTAAATTCCCCTGGTTCCTCCTTTTTCTGTTTTCTCCTAAGAGTCTCCATCCAGGTGCTCAGTGCCAGTGGCTGGATCCCCCTTGCAAAGCTGCTCCTCCCCTTCGAAATCCACAAGTCACCTGTGGGGTAAGGTGAGGCTTCGGGACTCTCCCCTTCCCCAAAATATCTGACCCGGTGATTTTAGCATCTGGATCATCCTTGTTGGGTTTGGCTATTATTCCCTTGTGGACGATTAACATTTTTCTAATTCTGTCATCTCTCTGTTTGTTTGCCCCACTTTTTTGTGAGAAGTAGAGCTTTCTCCTCCTGGCCTTCCCCACCTGCCTCTGGTGCTATGGACCACAAACCATGGATTATGCTGCCCTTTGTAATGCGCTGCCCTCCATTAATGACCTTGTTCGCATTGAGGCTGAAATCAGCCAGAGCTCGCCCCTGGGACCCTGTCACTCTGACAAAGTTTGGGGCTTACTTGCCTCTGGAAATAAAGGACATCCCCACTCACGCTGTGTCTTTCCTGCTGCAGGTCTGGGATGAACATTTCTGCAAAGGGCCTTGGCTAGTGTTGTGCCAAACGGTGCACAGCAGTGGTTCCCAGACTTCTGGCCTCAGGACCCCCTCGCTCTGAAAAGCCCCCCGGGGAGCCCCCCAGCACGCTCCAGCCTAGAAGCCAAAGCAGAAACTTAAACATTATGGATTAATTCATTTAAGATAAACAATACACTCCTTGTATGTTAACCTAAATAACGCATTTTAGTGAAAAATAATTTTTAATAGCAAACAATTTTACTATTAGCAAACGTTTAATAGAATGGGAAAGAGGGGAGTATGTTAATAGCTTTCTCAAATAAATACGGATTTTTTTATACAACAGCAAAACTCAACAAACTGTAGTTTCTTAAAGGCTGGTTGCAATGTGGAATAGGAAACCATAACAAGAATGGTGATAGATACTGCAAGAGTTGAAGAAAGAAGAAAGAAACACGAAAAGCAGCTCAACAGTCTAAGACAGGTTTATTTTGGAGAATAAACTGGAGAGGGGCTTCTGCCCAATTTCGGTCAGGAGCCTTTTCTCTCAGAGACTAAGGGTATTTAAGAGTTCCGGGAGGGGCAGCTTATCACAGGCTAGGAATGTTTCTGTGTGGAGAACAGTCTTATTGCAGGATTGGAATGTCTCTGGTCGGAGGGGAGGTTATCTCGGGGTTGGCACATCTCTGGTCAGAGGTTTCATTTGTGGTTTAAGGTCATGCTGACATTAGCCATTAGGCTGATGTTTTGGGACTGGATTTAGGCGGTTTCTAAACAAGAACTTACAGTGGTGATGCTTGTCTAAGATGGCAACGCTCCTGCTCCGTCAGTGCAGACTGTGCCGGTCTCCCTGATGGTAAATCCAGTCTGGGTCTCTGCGGGGAATGGCATCATCGGCCACTGGATTTTGTACAGGGGCTTGATTATGGAGTTCATCTGCATGGGTTGCAGCTGAACGCCAGGTGTGCCCTTTTTCATCAGGAGTGAGGGTGGAGGCTAGAATGATATAAATGCCATGCCACATTAAATTAAAGGACTGAGTAATATGCAGGAATTCCTTGCGATAATGAGAGGGATTTTCAGAGGAAGATCCCAGATGCTGTTGGATCTGTGACAAATCAGACGTAGAGAAAGAGTCATGAACGCGAGCACTGCCTTCAACCCAGCCACTCCCGGAAGAGGAAGAATGGCAGAGGTGGTCTGACTGGCAGGCGTTTCCTTTGTCTTTAATGTCCAAATGTAAGGCTGGGCCCACCAGCCCCCAGGGGGCATCCAGGAGGGGCCCCAACCCATCCCCATAGACCACGTTTGAGAGAGTGGCTGGCGCAGCCCCTTTCTAGAGGCCATTCTTAGCTCCAGCTGCTGCTACCCTTCTTCGTGCCCGGGTGGCCTCTGGCTGGGCCCGTCTTTGGCTCCCAGGGCTGGGGCTGCAGCTGGACTGTGGTTCCTGGACTTCCTCACCCACCCTCACCACAGGGACAGGAGGGCCTAGCCTGGCCCTGTCACCTGCCCCTCCTGGGTAATCTGCCCAGGCAGATTACCTGGGCAGGCCTGATGAAGTCAAATGCGAGCTTTAAAAAGAGGTTCTCCATACCAGAGGGTTCTTCTGCCACCCTGAGGTTGGCTGCCAGGTTGGAGGGGCCACAGGGCTGGGACTTGGGGCCTCGAGGAGTGACAGCAGCCACAGTGTCAGCCGGCAAGGACACGGAGCCTCTGTCCTGTGGTCACAGGAACAGCATTTCGCTGGCGGCCCGTGGGTCCACAGAGAGGTCCCCACATGGTTACACCGAATCCCCACCCTGTACAGACACTGTGAGGCGGCAAATGGTGTCGTTTCAAGCCACTGTGCCTGTGGTCGTTTGTTACACAGAAGAATAAAATTAATTAATACTTGTTACGATAAAAATTTTAGAATTCAGTTTCCTCCATCCCCGGCCCCGACCCAAACTGGGAGGGAGCAAGAGATCAAAGAATGGCTGGGACACAGCCTGCCTGGACAGCCGCAGGACAGCACTAAGCCCCGCAGCTTCCGAGCTGCTTCTGCGTGGGTCCCCGGCTTGCTGCTGGCCACGAGCGATGGGACTGCTCTCCTGGGCGGTTGCTGGCTCCAGGTTCTGGGGATGCCTCTGCTCCAACCCCAGCTCCTGGACAGTTCTCAGGCTGGCTCCAGGTTACTGGGACGTCTGCTCCTCCACCGGGCACTGTGACCTTGGCTCGCCGCTCAGCCTTCAGGGTTCAGGCAGTGGACAAAAGCCCTCAGTAGCCTGGTGGGCAACTCACTGCACCACAATACCCTGTTGAATAGGTTTTGAGGAATTTCTGACCCCTTCAAAGCTGTACCCAACACTGGTGTGAGGCAGCTGGAGGCATGCACGCTTCTTATTTGGGAG